ATTATAATTTGTAAAAAAATAGACCAAAATACCCCCTAAATCTTTTGGGGGTATTTTGGTCAATTTATTTATATAATTTTTTTATATATATATTTTTCATAGGTTCGCCTATTTTTAAAAAATACACGCTTAAAATTTCAAGTGATTTAGATTTGAAAAAAAAAATTAAAATTCAAACACTATCGGATATCCGTGATCGTCAGATCGGCCATAGAATGGCCTATATTCAGTCTGGGTAATTCGCGTATGATTTCATACAACCGTTGTATAGTAATATGATATAATAACCTTAAAAAACCATCTTTTGGCCATTTGCTTGATCCAAATTTTGAAATATATACCCTCTTCATTCTAATAAACAATCACAAAAAAAAAAAATTGAAAACACAATCTAGAAAATATTTCTTTATGACATTGAATGGCATGTAATGTATATAAGAAACTTTCCACACCTCAAAACTTATGGATCTTTAAAGAGTGAACGCACTTGTGGTGCCAAAACCCAAGGATTTCCTTTTCGAGCATTGAATCACAGTACCAGATTAGTGGGGAATTTTACAACATTATGTTCATTTAATCTTATCGTAAGGGTTTAGTATATATCAAAAGACTCAAGAACTTCCAGTATTTACAGAAAAAATCTGACTTCTAACGTTCATTTGTATTTTCTTTCAATCAGTTTCAAAAAAGAATATTCATAATCAGTAGTTTTCGTCTGCTAACGTTCATTTGTATTTTCTTTCAATCAGTTTCAAATAAGAATATTCATAATCACTAGTTTTCATTTCCTTTTGCTCCTCACCTTCAATCAGCAACTATCTATCTATCATCATCATCCAATCGAGGGATGGACAGTGATGGAGAGAGAGCGGAACCCACAAATTGGGTCATGACACTTAATCTTCATCGGTGTCCACCACTGGTCCACCCAATTGTTTGAGAGTAGTGCCCCTCATGACCATAGATTTCTTTATGCTCATGTGTATCGTAGTATACTTTCCCAGCTTGTTCTTCCTCCAAGAGGGGGCCACATAATTATCAAACAAACTGATAGAAATAGAAGAATGGTGTTAATAACCTATGGACCAGCAAATAGTTCTCCGGAAAAACAAACACAACAGTAAGTTTAAAAAGGCAGGGAGGTGAATCAAAGGAACAGGCGACTAACATCTCAGAGGACAATACCAAAACAAATGGGATTATATATTCGGATCGTATACTATGAGACCATTGACTTGAGTATAAAAAGGTCACAATTATTTATAACCAATGGTTTAAAAAATAGATTGGTGCTTTGGATCGGACATTTTAAAAACCCATTTGGATCGGTGAATTGGCGATTTCGATTAGAAATCAGCCGAATCGATCAGATTAAGCTTTAAAAAAATATATAAAAAAATTATTAAAATTCATTATAAATGTTGTCTTTTAGGAAACCAATAAAACATGACGGTACTCTATTAATAATTTTTTTTTTTTATTTTGCATGAATATGCGAGTATTGATATGTTTTTTTTCGAGATGAACTACTATTTACCATTTAATTTACATCACACAAAAGGATAAGCATAGAATTATCATAGATTAAGTATATCATCACACATGGAGTACAATAAAGCATACAATTCGGTAAAAAAATAACAATAATATAGTCATCCATAATGCCACTACATGTACATTTGACACAAAAAATATTTACAATGATATAGTCATTCGTCACAAATAATATTTACAATGATATAGTGGGCACAATCCCAACTCAATTAAAATGATCACAAATAGTTGTACGTCTCAATTACAAAAATGCAAAATAATATAATAAAAAATACAAGCTCCAAACATGCCTAAAACTCAATTATCAATAATATATATAAAATTTATGTATCAACATACATTTTTTTGCATTAAAATTTTAATAATAAAATTTAAAACACAAGATAATATAATTATCATGCGTGCCCAAATTTTTTTACAATAATATTAATACAGTTAATACCAAGAATATACATACATGCTACAAATAATATTTACAATAATATAGTCATTCAAGATAATATAATGATAAAATATATATCAATCATGTGCATACATTTTATGCATTAAAATTAAAAAATACAGTTTTGCATTAAAAATTTAACATGTATTTTTTTGCATGAATAATCTATCAACATGCAACTTTTTGCATTAAAATTTTAACAATAAAAATTATAAATACAATTTAATTCCTCATGATAATCAAAACCTGGTCACGATTTTCACAATTTTTTTGGAAATCACAATTTTTCAAAAAAATTAATTATAAAAAAAAAAATTCAAAAAACACAACCACAACTCTTCTACATCCGAAATCGAGCAATAAAAATTGCTTAATCCGACAAATTGCACTCAAAATTAATTGAGTAACAATATTACCTTAAAAAACCCTCTAAAATAATTCATAATAGTATTTTAATTCATCTCATATTTGTAGTTTTGCGAAAAAAAAAGCCTTAACTGTTCTTCTGAAAACCATGACTCAAAATAAAAAATCCACTACAAATCCACCAAAATCAACACAAAAGGTATACAATTTATGATGAATAACACAATCACGACTAATTTCCCTCTTATTTCATACAAAATAGAGATCTATTTAATTTGTAATTCAAAGAGTGGCGGAAAAAAAAAAAAAGCAAAAAAAACACAGACCCAACTTGACATCAGTCATTTGAACTCAAAAATCCACCTCAAATCGAACAAATTATATCTAATTGAATACATTTTATGATAAATAACACTATAAAGAATCAAAACCCTATAATATTAACAAATTATTTACAAAAACTTGCATACAATCGATTGAATGGCTGAAAACCAAACTTCTTACCTGTTTTTCTGCAACCGTGGCTTCAAATCCAAATCTAAGTTGTAATGAAGCAAAATACTCGCAAAGTATGAATAATTTCTTTTAAGTAACACTCTTAAGATCAATAACCCTCATATTTTACAAAAAATGATGCCCTATTTTTCTTGAAATCAGAGAAATGGCAAAAACCTAAAAAAACCCCGTTGTTCTTCACAAATCCGCCGATTTGTTATTGAAATTGAATATTTTAACTCCAACTTATCGAATGATAAGGATGAAAAGCGAAATAAAAAAGCTGAAATATTCGATTCACATGCTAACAAAGCACAACTATAAAAAAAAAAGCCAAAATTTGATGATTCCCATCGCAAAATACTATTCACCCGTGGTTTTGAACAGTGACTCGGGCGATTTACTGTTGGGAATCGCCCGGTTCTCTCTAGACACAGGCGATTCCTCATGTTTCACTAGAACCGGCACGGATGTGTCGATTCCCAAGTCTAACCGGGCAAATCCGATTCGACTCGCCGATTTTTAAAACACTGTTTATAACCATCCGATGTGAAATCTGATGGCTTGAGTGTGTCACAGAATTTGAAAAAATGTCTTTTGAACTTTGGACATGGTAAATGACACAAATGCAACCAACAAATTTTACATCCAATGGTCAAGATTAATTGTGATCTTCATGTACCAAATATAATGATCTTATTGCATACTTTTCTTTACATATTCAGCATGACATGACAAGGAATCCATCTCGACACAAACATTATGCAATCCTTAGATGCATGAGCTGTAGTGCTCAAAGCCACAATAGAAACATACATGTAGCGTTTTACATAACAGCTGTGTGATGTGGCATCCAACAATTCTTCTTCAATAAATGGCAGATGAAGATAGACGTTTCTATGGAGAGTCCTTAACCGTACATGATATTCAGGCATGCCCTAGATGAGCTCTGCACTAGAGCAATTCATAAATTAAACCACCTTCAGTATGCTTTTCTCGAGCGATTCTACAAAGCTTGAGGTTTTGCAAGTGTTACGGAGCTAACCATTTACAGCTGACCAGCGAATGAGTCCACGGCCAATTTATGTCACATGATGTAGAAAAGCTAGGCCTCAGGCTTCTCCACCAGAACTTGTTTCAAAGCCTAGGATTACGTTATAATTGGGCACAGATTACGTTATAATTGGGCACTTCGCCTACATACGGGTGTAGCGTATCATGTAACCATCATCTTTCTCATCAAGCATTTTCTTCATGCTATAAAAGAAGGAGAAACACAAAAAGAACAAATTAAAGAGGTTTATAAATCACCAAATAAATATGAAGATGCACACAAAGATTTCCATGCTTCATGATCTATTACAAATGCAACTCCTACAAAATGCGATCTAGTTTTTCCACTTTTCCTCTTTTTGTCCAACATCTCCAAATCTCTCATGTCGTGAATGTTGCAATGATTTCTACATTCTAGTCCCCAGGTTCTCAAGAATTGAAAGGTGAAATTTACAAAGGAGGTGCTTTCTAATTCCTATCTAATAATAATCATGGGGCATTCGTGACAAGACAAAGGGGGACACTCACCGAGCATTTCGTTCTTCTCTGACTTCAAGGGCTTCAACTTCCTCATTTGACAGAATATCAACGACAGGCTCATACAAATCCCACTCCCTCCTTCTCCTGCCTCAGCAAAATGAAGTTTTCATAGAGCACTGTTATGACTTTTTTCAAGGATATGTTACTTTTCCTAAAACCAATATTCAAGGATGTGTTACCATTATTGCAAAATTGTTGCAACAAGATGCAGATCATCAAACCATCGGAGAAAGAAAGGGATGATACAAGATTAGAAAAGTGAAAAGAAGAAGAAAGAAAAGATTTGTAGTTCCATGACTGCAGTGGTCTGACTGAATAGTTATCAAATCCGGCCACATGACGCTTTAGTGGCAACTTAAAGCAGATGCACCAATGGGTGCACTGCATATTCCCACATATAAGGGCTCATCACTCAACATGAAAGCCCCGTGTATGTGGGAGCCTGCTTATGTGCATTAGACTTAAAAACCCTATGATTTCATCACGACAGTTGCTTTTTGATGAAATTTCTTCCTTAAGCCTATTTTTGGTACTTTATCCAATTGAAGGCTTCTTTCTAACTAAAAAAAAACACTAAAAAATCTCTGGCTAGTGAGATTTTTATTTTGTAATCAAGATGCACCCAAACTTTTCATGAGTTCAGATCAACTAGATCTGAACTTGATGCTCAAATCTAGTTTGGTAGTTTTGATTTTGGGTGTCTGAGGAAGCATTGACAAGTATTAAAGGCATCAAGGATGGGCCCTCAAACCTTTAGGTAAATTCCAATTTCTTCAATTTGAAACATATAATTGGTTTATGTTTGACTGGTTCAATTTAAAATCATATTATTTTTCATATTGTACATGCATTTATGACGTTTTTCGTTTTCTATTTTTCTAAATTTTCATGATTTTTCTCAAACTTTTGGGATTTCTTCACACTTCTTAGGTGGCAAAGTCAAGCTAGTCAACACAAACTCACCCGAGTGGCTCAGATCCACCGGGGGCAAGTTCTGCCTCCAAGATATTTTTCAAGCACTACTTTTAAGTAGTGCTTTGAGCAACCCAAAAGAGGGCAGCAAAAATTTGACCTGAATTAAATTTGCACAGCATGACATAGAATTTCAAGAGGAGGGCAATGATCTCAAATGAGAAGTGAGAAACCAGACTACAAGAGAGAAACTCAATTGTTAAAGAATATTTCTGCCATTAGGTTCACCACATTATAACAAACATTGACCAAGAAAGATATAATGAATTCTGAAAAATACACAAAACATAAATCCAGCCAACATCAACTAAGGAGTCTGAAAGGAAAGGCGAAAAGGGGGGCTTGTTCATGTACCCATTTATCACGGACTATGCCATCTTTACAGTTCACACCCTCTCTCTAAGAGAGAGGGGACTGTAGGGAATGAGTTATGACATGTAAAGGTATGGCCAGTGGTGGGTGTAGATACTAGGACCCAAAAGAAAGAGGCAGTGATCCGCATGGAAGTAAACTATCATAATAATTCACTGATACTCCAACACTAGCAATGCAGTGCTAAAAAGACCACAGGAACAACATTAGTCGGAAAAAGACAATGAGCTCAGTGGATATACCTGACAACACTTGTTTTGCTCCCAAGTAGCTTCATTAAATCCAGAGCAGTACCACCCATTTTACTGCACAAACGAATTATATCAGGAATGGCAATCAATATGAAAGGCTTGCTGGTATGACAAAAGATAAAGACTGAAACTTAAATCACATGGTGAACAACTAGATAAATCTAGGATGCACAGGAATCATCACTCATCAGATGCCCTCACTAAGGTGGTGCTTTGAATACACCAAAGATTTCAACGCACGATGGGATTAGGGAAGGCAACATATATCTTCATGGCTTGTAGTTTCAGTCAAACCATACAAGACCCTATGGAATGAAATATATCTGTGAAGAAATAATCAAAGCTTGGGGTGATAAAAACAAACCTAGCCAGTGCATGTTCTGTACCCCGTTCACGCCGACCCTTCTTGCTAATACGGGTTTCCCTTGCAGAAGCTACATTTTGGACTGCAATCTGTAGCAGATGATACAACCAGTAAATAAGAGAAGATTACCAAGGTAAATTTATTGACGAGGAGAATGAAAATTTAAGAATAAAAATGCCAGCATCCTTGCATTCATAAGGTTCTTAAGCAAAATACTTTGCCAAGTTTAATCAACTCCACAGTAGATATACCCACCTTTCACAAAGGGTTCAACTCAATTTTTACAAGTGATAACTTGCAAACCATAATTCCAAGTCCAGCATGCCATTAGCTACTTAAAATTATCCTAGTGTTACAATTCTTCCATAACTCTTCTATGGTTTTTTCTAAGGGTGAGGTTTGTATAGAGCCTAGGCTCTAAACAATCAAATTACAGCCAACCTTCAAATAGTGTCGAGAAATGTGGTCTCATTATTGGTAATCTTTGTGATAGCCTTAAAATATATTTTCATCTTTATTTATAAAGTTTAAAGCTTCAAAATAGTATCGATTGATAGATCTATGAAAACTTGAAAATTGACAGTCAAAAAATGCGTTACAAAATGCGCTATTTCCAAAACTTGAAATCCATTTTTTTTCTCATGTCTATGTATCTTGATGTCGAGATGATCAATTTGAGGATATTTGGGCATCTAAACAACCTCTTCTAGTAAAAATTTTGAGGTAGGCTCAAATTTGATTGTTTAGAGCCTCGGCTCTATATAAACTTTTCCCTTTTTCTAATGCGTCAAATAACTTGCAAAGCATGGTTTCAACGTAAGGGAGTTTCAATGGCTTCTTAAAATGTGTTTGAACATTAAGATTCTTGCACAAATCTTATCAGATTCTGATATAATTGATAATAACATGGTCTGCATGCCAGCATATGGAGACGTTGTTACATCAACCATTCTATGATAAAAATTACATGGCAATCATGCAGGTTCTCTTATGTTTAAAAGAGATTGTCCATGGGCACTCACCATTGCGAGCCCATACTTTAGAGACTCTCTTGTTGCAATAAAGTCAAAATGAAAGCCTTTTAACCTTCCATGCATACTTTAGAGACTCTCTTGTTGCAATTACATGTTCTCCTTTCTCATCTTACTTTTTCCTTTTAGCTCAGAATGGATTTGAAATCCGTACAATTTTAACTGTCTAAATCAGATTAGCAAGTTGCTTCTCCTCAAGAACGATGCATCTTCCTTCACGAGTTCAACATTTTTATGACATGTTAGACCAGCAACCTTACAGTTCTACTTCAGTCAATAAAACTTCGTATAGAATACATAATGCAGCAGTATCTGCACCATGGCCCCCAAAAACAAGGACATACATGGGAAAACAATATTATGGGTGAGATCGTGACAACAGTTCAAAAAATAGAATGAAAGAAGAAGAAAAACTACGATTCTAACTAAAATCGTGTTTTTTAAACAGAATAAGCAAAAAATTGAATTGCACTTTTTCAATGAAACAAGCAAACTCCTACATCCATTCTAGAAAGTTTAATTGCAGGTCCAGGAATGAATTGCTGAACTGGCCAAGTGGAAGGGTCCCGAATCGATCAAATTGGGACATCAGACAAGACCGGGGAATGAGCCAGATTTTCTGAGGGACTCCACTGAATTTCCAATTCCTGGCCACATCGGCCAGGATTTGGTGAGTCTGACTTTTCTTTTCTTTTTTCATTTCGCAGGAAAAACAACTTTAAGGTAGATTTTTGGGGCCAACAAGGGGTATGAAGATCCCAAATTTCAGCCCAAGGTTTTTGACTGTTCTATCAGATCCATAACCAAATCTTTTGAAAGGCCTACCGACTTTTACACATTTAAAAGAATTCAATTTCCAAATTTTGAGTTTGAAAGAGCTTCAGCAAGCCTCCAATCACATCGATTTGAAGCCTAACCCCAAGGGATCTTTGGGGGTTTTATTTTGGAGACTCTAGGTTGACTTAACACCAGAGTTGATTTTCTCACTACAAACCCTTTCTATTTTCTCATCACTATACATAGCATTTTATGAAATTTATTTCATTTCCTATTATTACTTCTTTTTGGGATTTTTTCAATTGCTTAATTTTTAATGCCACTCAAGGCCCAATCTGTCAACTCACCGAGCTAACTCAGCCAGCCCATGGCCAAATCTGGCTTTTAAAAAACTGGTTAGGAACAGATAAAGTATAGATAAGGCCTAATAATCGAACCTGTGAACTGTTGGGTAACCATCTTTCCAAAGATACCATTAAAATCGCCTCAACCATTTCAGGAAACGTAGATTTCCAAGGAAATTTGCTTTTTCTAGTGACAGAAACATTTATTTAAGAAGCCTATTTCCAGCCAAAATCAGTTGAGGTTTCATATGTCATTTCCTGCAATGACCAGCATAGCCTTGTATTGTCTCAGATTGACATAGATCATATGAAAAGAAAAAAAGAGGTTCAAATACCGAGGCATTGCAAACTGATTACAGGTCCCAAAATCTATTCTCACACAGCCCTACTTCATTTGGAATCACATCCTCTTTAGAAGAACCCAACTACACCTACTAGTTAAAAAGACACCAAAGTCAAATCAAGATTACGGCACCAATCAAGTGCTCAATTTAGTTACACCGCACACATGAATCTCGTAAATATGGTAGTAGTTGAAGTTGTAACCATAATTAGGACCTTATGCAATCAAGAGGATCTAAGAATCCATGTTCGATCATTTTGTGTGGAATTCAAAAACAGTTCGCACATGATTAAGGATGATCATACTAGAAACCCAAAATTAAAGTTTTGCAAACCTTGAATCCATAGCTTCAAATTTTGAAATTTAAAAAGAACATGAATAAGGCACAACTGCATGACAAATCTTGCACCAGATCACAAGAACATGCATGTGCTCATATATTAGTGGGAATAATTACCTCCCAAAAAACCTCTGTACCACATGCACACTAACCAACAAGAGAAAAGGAAAAAGAGCAACCCATATAAGTGCATAAATCCCATAAACTAATAAATTTGAAGATATCTTAACAGGTCATAAATTCCATGTCGTATCCATGTCTTAGATCCAAAATAACAAATACACAAGCAATACACTTTTTAAGTCACATTCCAACAATGAATTTTTCTGCACGTATTCCCTTAGTTTTTATATATATTCTCATTTTTCTTTGTTTATTTAATGTCATTATATTTCCTCAGTGTATTCTCTTCTAGTAATCGAATTTTTCCCCACGTATTCCCTTAGTTTTGATTTATATTCTCATTTTTCTCTGTTTATTTAAAGTCATTATATTTCCTCAGTATATTTCTCTTCTAGTTATCTCCTAAGACGATGATATTTATCTATTCTTGCTATTATGTCCGTTTCAAGCATACTCAGGATAATATTCTCTCTTTTAGGTAGCCCAGTAAAGTTGCATGAACGAAATATGGACCCTTGACTTCTCTCCTGTAACCCGGGTATTTCACTAGTAGACTAAAGTCACAGTTGAATGATATTTTACTAGATGTTCATAGGTATGACTTCAGAGCAAATTTTGAAATCTCAACCTCTTTTCTATAGGACAATTGATATTGTATTTTAGGTCCTTTTTCATTTGAGAGGACTGTATCTTAGGTCACAACTGTTTGAAAACAAATCAATCCATTTTAATCATTAAGTGAAGGTCCAGAGCACAAACCTCATAAAGTTGCTCCCTGATGGCTACTGCAATGGCAGGCTGCAAGAAGAGTAGAAAACAAAATGAGTCCATGTAACATTAAATCTTCACATTTATTGTCCTAGGTGGTACTCTAAACTTCAGAAGCGGGTAAAGGAACGAACAGAATGGCAATTAGAAAGTAATGCAGCACATACATCTACTCTTCAAAAATAAAGTCTGTCAGAAATCGCACGATTTTAGCCCCTTTCTTTTTCATATGTTAGATTAACCATCAGAAAGTGTAGCTATACATGCATTTATGTACCAACAGGATAACTCATTCAACCACACTAGATAATAGATCCATTAAATGCATGCGCATGTGTGAAAATGACCACCTTAGGGGAGATATACAATAATGGGCAATAATAAAATAACCAATGCTACTAAGACTGGACTAGAGGTCCAACTGTTGAAGGCACCTGTTTGGTGGGACCAACTGAACCAGCCAGGTTCACCAGTCCAGACATCAAACAAAAAAGAAGGAAAAATACAAATAAATTGAAAAATAAACAAATAAAATATTAAAATCTAAAACTAAAAAAAATTCAGAAAACTATCAGGAGCAAGTGTTAAAAGATTGGTCATAGTAATATGAACGACAAACATAAACCAGTAAAAGATTTGGCTAAAGGTCAAACCATTGAGGGCACCTGTTTGGTGGGACCAACTGAACCGGACAGGTTCACCAGTCCAGACATCAAAACAAAAAACGAAGGAAAAATACAAATAAATTGAAACATAAACAAATGAAATATTAAAATCTAAAAATAGAAAAAAATCAGAAAACTATCAGGAGCAAGTGTTATAAGACTGGTCATAGTAATATGAACAAATATAAACCAGTAAAAGATTTGGCTAAAACCAGTCTGAACAAGCCACTAGGCCAATTTCAACTGGTCTCAATTGGCTGGATCAAACCGGTGTTGACCGGTTTGATGCCCACCTGGTTTAGGACGGGTGAACCTACAAGTTGGGGCCCTGATCCACCAGTCCTGGAAAGAACCTGCTGGTCCGGTTTGGTCTTAATACATACATAAAGGCAGACAACAATCTTGATTAAACAATAGAAACACACAAAGACAACAACAATGACCTTGATTATAGTCATTAGATACTACAAAAAGGAATATACTAGCTATAATATACAGCCTTGATCATCAGACACAATTCCACCCACTCGAACCTCCAGAAGAGCACTTCCCCAAAAGCCTAAATAAGCTCGCATATTCCCTCGATCCCATGCTCCAAGAGCCCAAATCTGAATACCCCAAGAGACATAACCACTTTCCAGGGAGTTCCTACATCTAATTCACCTCCATTGTAACCCTGTTCCTAATACAGATTATAGTCATTAGCCTAATACCACTCTCCCATGGCCTCAGGTTTAGCCTTCTTCCTCATGGTCATCACTCCACAAGGAGTGCCACCTTAGTCTTACAATCTGCGTATCACTATAAAAAAGCAAGTTCCTATTAACGAGCATATCCTACAAAAGAACATCAATATTTACCACCATCGTCACTTGACAATGTCGTATACCATGAATAGAAGATAAAAGCAAAAAAAATTTTGATTAATCAAGGAAAATTAATTATCTTGCTTACTCCAACTTCAGGATCTTCAATGTCCAAGTCCCTGCAGAGGTTCCTAGCAAACTCCTCAGGATCACTCTCAAAATTGCTTACATCCTGAAATGCATTTTTTGCCATTAAAATCATATTAGTTGACTGCAGAAGGACATGAATCTTTACCAGTATCAACAAGAACGAAGTAATGAAATGATTATTAAAACTGAGACTTGGCCTCAAGCAGCCATGAATCAAGTTGACCACTGCTTCGGCAAGTTAACTCAGTCATACTGAGGAAATGATGCAACAGATTTACACATTCATCCGCACACACATATAATTGCACATAGAAGATAGGCCTTACAACTGGTCCCAGAGTCCCAAATTGGGTGGACACACAATGACTCAACCAAATGAGCTAGTCAACCAAGAAGTAGGCCACCTCAAATGTTATTTTACTTGTAAGAAATCCATTTCAATAATAGCAAACATACCCATAGAAATTGATCTCTTATGATTGTTTTATTTACACGAAGGTCCAGCTGCAATCAATAGTAACAGCATAGCACATAATTAGCAAGCAATTAAGTATGCTGGGATCATTATAAGGTTTAACAGCATCAAATTTTAGAAACAATGATTAAATAATCCATATCAACCCACCTTGATGGGCAACAGCTTCTCAACTGTATTCATCTCTTGTCCTTCATAGGACCGAAATTCTGTTATCTGTGACTGGTGCAAGCAAAGAGCACAAAAGTAAATAAGGTATAAATCTAAACCCAGCCACTCATCTATTTATACAAAGTTTGGTGAATGAGTTATTATTTTTGTGTCATAAATAAACAAACTTCTGTTAATTTGAAAAGGAAAAGTATAAAAATAAAAAAAACAAAAGTAAAGTACAAGTTACAACCATCAAATGAAGGAGTTCCAAAGATGACAACTCAATCACCCACTATTCCCACTCTATGAGATTACTACCCTATCCACCCCACTGTTAACTAATGCATTGATTTCCCAATTTGCCTCCCTTCAACAGTTATTCTGCTCTAGAAAAGTTTATAGACATATTCCAAATAAGTTAAGACAAATGTCATCCTTTGAAATAGAAGTGTTCTATATTGCACCGCTAGTTATCCAAACTAACAAATGCACAGTTGTTTTAGCAACAAGTAATCATCCAATAAAGATAACGGAACTTACAGTCTGCTGGGGAGCATTATGTTAATAGAACAAAAGAGAAACCCGCATTGTCAAGCAGCTAAGTCAAAAAAGAGAAATGAAAAAGACAACCATACACCTTCCACTACATTACCATAAGCCCAAAGATTGAAGTACAATTGTATAAAGGCATTGCATTGTGTTAATTATTTACAAGGATTGCAACACTTGTAACTAAGTGAAGGCAAACATGTATTACGCGAAGAATATCAACATCTTTACCAAATGAACCTAGAGAATGTTATACACAAAGTTATTCAGAATGGACTGGACTGATTAGAGGAACTGGTTGGACTGGGAACAGGACCTGGATCCAGTTCAGTCCCATCTTGAATTCGGATTTTCATCAAAACCAGTTGTCATACCACTTGAATTGCTCAGACCAGTCGGGTAAAATTTTCATCTTTTTTATTTCTTTTACATTTTTATATTTTTCCTTAATATTTTAAGACAAGTCAAACTGATTTGACCACTGGTCCAGCCAGTTTGGACTGGAGCACATCCTCACCTTTTTGACCTCTGGACCATTTCTGATAGGTGTGATAATTACTGCTTTTATCTTCTCATACATCATTATAAAATCTAGATAAAACGGTAAACCTTACCATGAAACCTATGCATGAATTATCGTCATCAGAAATTCAGACTATCTCATGAAACTCACTGTAGAAAAATTAAACAAAAAAATTAAGACATGTATCTCTCTTAAAAGGGCCGGTTGCTTTTTTTCATGCGTGTGTGGGTGTGGGCGAGTTTTTTTTTTTTTTTGAGTTGATGGGGGTGGGTGGGGGGTAGCCTTCCTTTTCCACATGGTTGTTTTACAGATCCCAAGACCATTGATGAAAGTCCAAGTTGAGTGACAAAAACACTAACATTTTTGAGCAGCCATGTCCTAATAACAAGCGCATTTTTTTGTGACGGTGTTGATATTTAATACCATGGATCAAACACTCAAAGACTCAACTTGAGACTCAGTCAACTTGACCAAGTCCCACTGAAATCTGAGTTCATTGGAAGCAGGACTGGATCGACTCAACAGAAACCAAACACTTCAAGAAAATATCAAAGGATTAGGTGCGCATATTTTGCCAAGGTTAGTTTCTCAACTGACTGGTTTTTTTGGATAGTGGAAGTCTGGAGTCTACTGAGATTAATCACAGTCCAATAGCAAAGCAATTCAAGGATCAGCACAAACGTATGCAAACTATTTTTTTGCTCTTATTTTGGTCTGAAAGAATGACAGAAAACTATACACATGTTCACAATTTATGACTTGACTTCCCAACAATTTTGAAAAATCAATGACCGACTTGTGACATGATTCATATGAAAGAAGACTAAAAAAACTTGAAATAGCATATTACAAAACAAAATGCAAACATGATTGGAACTATCAAATCATCGAGCAGTCAATCCCATTTATGCAAAGTCAAATTTGATTCATCCCAACATAATAGCAAGCAAAAGAGTGATCATTCTAGAAAAGCCATTGCATCATTTTATAATCAATCACAAGCACATCTGCCACATTAAACTTACTTGCATTGATTGTGCAATTTGTGTTATGAATGTTGGAGGGAGCTTCATTTCCCTTGCTGTCCGCTTTGCAAAGACCAGCACTTCTGGGTCCGGATCTTTGAAACATTAATATAATAAAGGTAGACACATTTATAAGAACTTATGAAAATAGCCTGAGCTGAGATAACTAATAACATTACTATTCAAGATCAAGCACATAAGAATCAAAGTGTATGCCGCCATTTCCCACATATCCGTGAGTATATAAAATAATACATGATCTAGTAGTACTTGATTTGTAACTAGGAACACCTTTATAGCTCTTTGCTCGCACAATATGCAATAGCAGATGTATCACAAATTTGTGTCAGTGTATGTCTTCAAGTATTTGTGGAAGGCACCAAACGAAGAAAAATAGCAGATAAATGACAATCCAGAAGGATGCACAACTCGAGTAAATGAATAAAAATGAGATAGCCTCATTTAATACATGTGGGACATTGTGTCCATCAAGTAGTATTCTAACTGTGGTCAGGGACCTAAGTAATCAAATATCCAATCAGCATCAAAGTAGAATTACAAGGAGTATTAATCACTCGAACCTATCTTTCCTGTATAGAGATCACCAGTCCGCTTCAACTTTACTTGCCAGTTTGTTCTTTCATGAACATAATTCATATCTAGATGCTATTTTTTAATGGTACTGCTGTTGCTTTTAATTGAAGAGGTGTATTACAAATTGTTTACAGTTTCACCACCCAAATATACTAGTGCTTTCTGTATCAGTATATGCTAAACATTACAGAGAGGTCTAGCAATATCAAGTTAACGTGTTTTATCAAGGGAGCAAGTAAAAGACTTAGGAACACATAGATAGGCATACCAGAAGGATTCCAAGTAAAAGCATCTTTATAACGCTGTCCATCGATTTCAATGTCAATTCGTATAGGAATTAGATTCTCTGATGTTGGCCTGTAGAAAAAAATGTATTTACTGAGATGAAACTTCAACAAAGAAGTAAAACAATTAGTAGTAAAGAACAAAAGAAATAGCAAAGGAGACATAATATATCAATTATCTCCACTTTTTATTTTCCCTCAGATCTCATGTTTAAAGTTTAAGTGCTCTTGCAAAATGAAGAAACATAACATCAAAAGTGACAAGCTTCTCCCAAACCATCAGCTCATTGACTAAAGACATTTTCCATATTGGAGAATGAATTTGCACACTAAAAGACAGAGCACCTCTTTAGAGGCACAAAGACAAAATAGCCACCGAATCAAACTAAAATAACTAAGAGAAACAAATCAAACCAGGGGAGGTTATGAACATGCCACAAGTGTCAATGATGTTCAAAATTCTGACCAAATCATCACCAATTATGAGAACCACTTTTAAAATGGAGAATGCCCATCAAAGTACAGCTGGTGTTACTTGTCAAAAAGGCAGGCAAACACTGGAAAAATATGCCTCTCCTTCCCTCTTTGGATCATAAAACTTTGATTAAGTGCATGTATGCAGACATTAAGGGAACATAAGGTATCGAAATAACTGCACAATTTTTCCCCCTTCATGCACAAGCTAGATTTACAAGTCAAACATTGTAGGTGATGCAATATATTGCCCCTTCTATGATAATTTTCTGACTTTTTAACAAATGATTCCCATCTTAATACTTTACTCATCCCAATTTGATTGGATTAAGACAAGCCCTGTGCTGATATAATCTATCATAAAAAATAAAAAAAAATCTTCTTGTTCATCATCACTTCTCAGAAGTGATTTCTAAATCAATGTTAAAGATTTAGTCCTCATTTAAGAGTCATCAAAAGCCACTGTTTAAACAATTGCTGACTCGCCCGAGTAATTCTAGAGTTCAAGAAGAAAGCAATATTTTCACAAGAATGCTGTATTTAATAAGACATCTATGAAATTGAAACTCATGAGTAAGTACAAGTAACACTAGTGACCAAAATACATAACTGCAATACGAAAGAAACATTATTAAATCCAGTTTTCACTAACAACTATCAATATGCTAAGGATATATAAGTTTCTTAACATCAATGATACAGTTTACCCACACAAGCCCCTCAAAGTTTCTGATACTGAGTAAAAGAAATCCAAATAAAAATCCAATAAATGAGATACAGAAGCCCTAATGATTAAATAAGCAACATGCAGCTTATAAATTAGCCCCACAAATTGTGATATCCATCAATAGAACACAAAACCCCAATAAATGGCTTCCCACGTTCGGCCCCAATACTCAAAACATTTCATGTTCTTCTCCTTGACAATGAGACATAAAAGAACCCAACCGTAAATTAACTCCGATCCAATTGTTGCCACCTATCCCGAACCCTAATCAATCGGCCCGCATTAGGTTCAACTTGACCACACTCAGTAACATAGCAAACAACCAAAATAACTTGAATCTATTTAGTAAATTTCTAAAAAGTAACCAAATGTCACCAAATCCCGTAACATCAGCAAAAACATAAAAGAGTTTGAATCTATTTAAAGACGAAGAAATTAAATTTCAAAAGTTCCAAATTTATACAGGAATTTTCCAATATGTGGACGAGCTCGATGTATAGAGATGAATGGCAAAAATAAAAATAAAAATAAAAGATAAAATGAAGACTAAAACCAGCCTTAAAAGCAAGGTACATCTGTAGATCTCTCGGAGAAAGAAGCAAGAAATACTCCATGAAAGATGGTGAGAAAATAATTATGCAGGGAAAATCAATTCATGAGACTTACAATCTAAATTTTGTGGGAACCTTGGCGCCTGTTGGTACGGACCTCATGGCGGCCGCGACTGAAATTCCACTCGCCGAAAATGGGAGGGAAAAGTCTCTCAAACAACTCTCGAAAATTAATTTATAATTTTAAAGTGGCATCGGTACCCGTAATATTTTTGATGGGCTTCGTCCTCACATAGTTTATAAAAATTTATTCAAAATTAATATATCGACTGTCTTTAAACTATTGGATTCCTCAAATAAAATGAATACTTTTTTTTAATATATATATTTTAAAATTATTATTCATGCCTTGTTAATATCTGTAAAATATAGTGATTCGAAGGGTTTTTATACCTATTTTAGCTAAACCGAATCCCTCACGAGTTAAATGACTAATTCCAATAACACTTTCATCTTCTAACAAAATGGAGGTTTTATAAAACGTTTATGATGTAAACGATATGGGATAGTCCATTCCCATGTTATGGCGGTAACGTGTGTCATAAAGGAATAAATAGTGTTTCACTAAACATAAGGGAATAAAGGGTATATAATGTGAGACTATTTATCTTTCATAAAAGGAAGTCATGAGTACTTATAACTATCCAATATAAAATCTGATAGATTTGGTATGTCACAAATTTTGAAAATATTTATTTTGAAGTTTGAGTTTGGTCAATAGAATAAATGTGTAAATCCAATTTCACATCCAATTGTCAAGACAAATTGTGACCACCTTATATTAAAAATAAATGGTCTCATTGTATACTTTTCCATATCTAACGTGCATTTATTTTGTTGGAAATAAAACTAGGAAAGTTTTTAAAATAGTGAACACTATTGTAAGGGACTTTACAACAAATTTGTATTTTGTTTTTTAAAATTCAAAGTAGTTAGCAATATTGCTCCAAACCTTCTTCCCCGAGTGTCTTTTATTTTATGTAATTGTCGTATCCATTCTCTCACTTATCCCTCAACATGCGCAACCCACCCTTGCCTCATCGATCCACTTTGCCCTCACAATTAGAGGCTGTCGATTATTTTTCCTACCTGATGTGGACCTATTCCAAGCATAAATTGTAGTATAGCAAATGCTGACAACACTAGTGTATCACATTACTATCCGATCACTTCTAGCCATCCTATCAATATCATATAACTAAGAGTTTTTAAACAGATAAATTAAATTTATATGTGCGAAGACTTAAATTTGCTGCCCTTTAAACTGTATTTTAAAAACTATCCATCTAGATTGGGCATCAGTGTTCCAAATCGAAAATTGGTGGGGATCAACCTGGTTACTAGTTAGAATTGAGAATCAATCTGATATTGATAGACTCTCTTGATTTTCTCGGAATAGGGTCGATCAGGAAACTAGGTGACTTGAATAGACTGAATTGCCCTATTCCCACCTATTTCCATTATTATTATTTTTATTTGATTTTTTTGTCAAATTTAATATTATTAACTGAAATTGCTTAGTAGGCTAATAGGCTACATTGGTTTGTCTTGCAAAAGCATGGTCATGCACCTCAATCATCCGATATTGATTTGATGGTTGGTTCTTTGCATTAGTGTTGTGGTTTTACTGTTTTGTGTACAAATCGAATTGGACTAATACTTGAGGCATCACCCTCAAAACAGGGGCATTCTAGCTAAAAAAATAAAATAAATATTGCAAATACTCTAAATGACCAAAGTAGAGGATGTCTTAACGTATAATTTAGAGGTCCCTCTCCCCATTTTAAGGAGTGGTTCCGCCGTATCTCTCCAGGATTATTTGCTTCTTATAGTAGAAAGTCCTCTTTTAATTGTTTTTTTTTATCTAACTTGTAGTACGTGTTGCATAAACATACTTTATCAAACAAAATGGATACAATGAGACTGATTACTTTTGATACAAGAGGTCACAATTATCATTGACTGTTAAATTTGAAATCAGGTGGTTGAGAATGTTTCATTGCTTGAGCACAAAGTCCAAATTAAAATTTATCGAATGTTGTGATGCACTTTCATCTATTGAATTTTACATCCAACGGCAAAAAGTGATTGTGACCTCCTTGTATAAAAAGTAAATGATTTCATATTATACAATCCCTTTACCAAATCCACGATAGGCACATTACAATGCATAGTGCAACGAACTACCTAGAAATAAACACTATATAACCATTATTGGTTTTGTAATTAAGAGGATTCGTAAAAAAGAAATCATTCTATGGTTCGCACCTCGGATTTTTTTTTATAATAAGTTGTGAAAGATTTGCTTTTTTTATGGGAGCATACTGTGCATTTACTATCTCGAGTAAAACACAAGCTTGGAAAAAAAAATTTGATCCCAAGTTTTGGAGATGTAACCTCTAGAACCTAGCAACCAAAAAAAAAAAACAAACTTGAATCTCACCCTTACTGAGCCTCATGAAAGAATAAATAAATAAATAAATAAAAATAAAAATAAAATAAAATAAAATAAATTGAGATTGAGTAGGAATGGTTCAATTTTTAGAGGGTAGCTTCGAAGTGTGCAAGAACTTAAAACTCTCTCTTTCATACATCTTTTGAGGGTAATCATATGGTCACAATTAGATGGGTCCCAACATTTTTCAGATAAAAAAATCCTCCTATTATCCATTTTGCCTGATGGAGTAGTTGTACATTATGCTCCCCAAGAGCATGCTACAGTAATTGGTGAGTTAAAGATAAAAGAGGCTTAATGCCACTAGGAAATATTTGAACTCGATCTTGAAAACAGTTAAGGTTGATAATGGAGTACCAATTAACCCATCTCGTGAGCCTTTTCAACGTTTTAAAAATGCGGTCTTGGTCTACGACTTGCCAAGGTCAAACTGTCCAACTCAGGTGATTCTTGAATCAAACCAGTGATTCTTAAACAAAGAAATTAGGGATGGAGGGAGACTTAAGACTAGAGTCCCGGAGTTCTGATTCTGGGCCAATCAAGGCATGAGTTTTGGGCCGCATCATTGATTTTTTTGAAAATTTATCAAAATACCCAAATGAAATGAAATGAAATATTTAACATTTTGCCCATTTTCAACTATTCCAACTCAAGATCAAGTGGGGTATTTTGAATTAAATCAAAAGAGATAGGTAAAGCGTTAAATTGTTCATCTCTTGTAGGTAATTTTATAAAATATTTGGTTTGCATAAGGTTGCAACCTTAAACAATCAAATTACGGCACACCTCCAAATTTTATCATAGATATAATTTTGGTGTTAATTTTTTTTCGGATGGATTGAGAATCTATTTTAATCTCATATTATAAAATTTTGAACTTCGAAAATAGTTCAAATCAAGAAGATTTATAAACACTTGAAAATGGAAGGCCTCGTTAAAGTGTTGTGAAACAAGCTATTTTTAGGACTCAAAATCTTTTTTTTTTTTTCATATTCATGCATCTCGATATCGAGATGATAAATTAGATGGTTTTTCAACATCAAAGCAACCTTTTATGATAGATTTTTGAGGTGCACCTTAATTCTACATTTTAAGGTAGCAACATTACATAAACTTTTTCCTTTGACAAATTATTCTTATTTTTTAAATACTAGTTGACACTAAAAGTGATATATAATAGTAATTCCACATGGCACAACTCAAAACCTGTGTTAACTGAAATCATACATATGATCTTGGAAAGATGTGAACTGAAATCATACATATGATTTTGAGCTTTCCACATTGACACGTTCATAGTTAGTGCGGTAGGACACAATCAAGGTTGCAGATTTGACCCAATACATACACATTCTTGATTCGTGTCTATAGGCTTGTGTTTTCAAACCCATAGACCTTAAGTTTTTCATCTTTTTCTTTGTAGCTGTTTCAACCTTTTGGTTGGAAAAAATTACATTATTTATCACCACTTAAAAGACCAATTTTTTTTCTTTTATGGGACCATTTTGTAGAGCACTCAAGGAATAGATTGATCTAGTTTTTGTATATATGCTACCAAGGGGGAGAGAAAAAAAAATGCTTGATTTTGCTATTATATTTTAGCTTATCTCAAATATCATGAAAAGGACTACAACAATTATCTTGTGCTTTATTATTACTAATAACTAATGTACCGTATCAAACTCCTGTCTCATTCACAAATTTTTTGGGGACATAAGCTTTCTTATTCATCCCCACCTTAGAGAGGATTTTATTGTAATTACTTGGGAGGGTTAAGCATTTGGTTTTTTGTTAATCTAGTAAGACAAAATCATGAAAGCATGCAAAAACAAGGACATTAATCATTGACAAAGGGAAACTATTAGAAAGAGAATTTAATCTAAAGGCCCAACATTGTATGCTCCCGCCGGAGCATATTATACTCTAACTCCCTCAAGTAAAACCCCAGCTAGGAGTATATTGACCTCTTTTTTTGGGATGCGTCCTCGTGAATCTAGCCACCAACCTCAAAAATAAACAAATAAACACATAAAAATGGATAGGCACTCTATGTGCTTGAAAGAATAACATCTTAAGATTGAATAGAGATTGTTCAAGCTAGAAAGATTAGATCTAAGATTTTAGATTTCAAAATCCAATGTTTTTTCATTTAAAATACTCATATGGTGATTTCCAAGTGATCTCAATAGTTCAAGTCGAGGAAATCTTCCCAAATATGTCTTCGTGATTGTCAAGTAATTTTGAGGAAATCTTCCCAAGTAAGTATTTTGCTAGAGAGATTAAGCAAACTATGCCTCCTATAGCAGCCCAGTTCATAAGTGACAAATGGGGCCAAGATCGAGAATCGTTCGATCAAGTCCAGGAAGGACCCAAAAGGGATCGAATGAGTTACGAGAAGCAATCGACAAAGCTAAACCAATGATACGTGGATCAACGTATTTTATGACAGGTGGATCAACTTATAGCATGTGTATTTAATCAAATGTTGAACCCAGTGTTTCAAAATCTGGATTGGTGAGACAGATTGTTTACCAGCATATCTATGTCAGATTGTTAGATCCGGATCGGGTATGGATGGATGAGAATCGGTGATTGAAATAAATAAAAAATAAATGAAATAAAATAAAAATTATAAGGGACTTTATGTGTTGATAGATACGACTTAATAAAACATTAGCTTCAAAAGTGATAAAAAAAAGTATATAATGGAGGTTTTAGTAGAGAAAAAAAGGTATATAATGGAAGTTTTAGTGGAGAAAAAAAAGCATACAAGGGAGGTTTTAGTGGAGAATGGGCCCAAGACTCACGCAATCCCAAAACCGGTACTGAACAATTCCATATAAATTGGCGATACGAGTCGCTGGGTTGTAAAATACTAAATTGAACCAATGTCTAGTGGATACGAATCGCCGGGTTTTAAAATACTAGTGGATACGAATCGCCGGGTTTTAAAATACTCAATTGAACCAATGACTAGTGTGGATCACCTCATTTGAGGCATACTTCAATTGCCTATCAATCGTCCTGTAGCAAGTGTATCGAATCGAATGTTGAATAAAAGTACTTTACTTGTAGCATACTTCAATTGTCTATTAATCATCCTACAGCAAGTATATCGGAATCGAATGTGGAATAAAAGCACTGTTGTCCATTACTCACTCAAAGAATCACTTCATTGGGAAGGATTCGAACCTTGAACTCTAGGCTCCGGCCCCAACACCCTAACCACCGAGACAAGAGCCCAACATCGCACAACTAGTGGATCCCACCAATCTCTCCTTTCCCCTTAATTTATACCATTCTCCATTTGTATTTCTAACACTTCAAGATTTGGATCCTATAATTTATACAACACTTCATGTGCAGTTCTCACGTTTAAGATTTGGATTCTACAAATAAATTTATTTATTTACTATTTTGAAATATTTATTTTTTACTTATTTTGATGGGCTCTGTTTTTTAAGCTCCTTTGAGCAATGCAATGGATTTGATGCCCTGTGATTTTCTTAGTAGCAAGTGCTTGTCACCTATCCTTTTGTTCCTTTTCTAGAGGTACAAGATTTCTATCACTTGTAATTAAAGATATTATTTAAAAATGTTCATTTATTTTTTTCCAAAATTTAGACAAATTTATTTATATAAATTTGTAGGCCCAAATTTGGAGCCCTCAAAAAATATCTCAGGTGTGGATCAGCAAATATTCTTATTCCTAAGTCCTTTGTCCTGATACATTGGTTGATTTTTATTTATTTATTTCATCAATAAATAATGTTTGTTCTCGATACCAAGGATTATTTCTCTTAGGCAAATATTGGCTCCTTTACCTATATATTGACTGAAATATTAGATTGCTTTAACCACTGACTTGGGTCAAATATCGGTAGATGCAAATTCTAATACCGATGTACTTTGACCGGCTAAAGTGGGATTTTGCTCAAATTTGGGAAATTACATTGTAAAAACCGATTTAATATGACCTAGTATCTTTTATCAGACAATATAATCTTTTTTTTTTTGACACTGAGATAATCCTTTTTCTTTTTCTTTTTTTTCTCTGATATAATCCAATATTCTATGTGCACATTATGAGACCAGCTCCGAGTTGGGGCGCTAATCTAGCCGTCGTTTCTTGGACAGGAATGATCTGGATCGTCTAGGTGTGGCACCCATTTTTCAAGGGACCCTACATTTCCCTTAGAATGAGCGTTTAAAAATGCAGATTCGGGCTTGGATTCATCAGGCTCATAAGCCCAGTCAAAAGATTCAGTTGAGTCGGTGGGTGGGTCTCGATTGTTGGTCGTGTATGAGACCCGACTCAACTGATTTTCTTAGAAAATTTCGAAAGAGTGATTCTTGAGTGACTCCGTCCAAAATCACTAGGGTTCCAATCCGTGTCGTCTCGACAATTCTAGAGTCGATATAGCAAGTTACTCACCGGTCAGAGCTCAGATTATTCTCTCTTATGTTAATTGCAAGGCGATCTGAATGAGCCGGGCTCACTCTCCCCTTTTTTTTTTTTCTTTGAAACTGTCAATGGGATTGGAGAACACGATGTACGACTAAAATATGGGAGATGCTACTACAACGATCCTAGCCCCTTTCCCCAATCCTATATCTCTCTCTCTTTAATTTATGGCTCATGAGATCATTCCCCATTTTCTAGAAGTTTATTCCAGCAATATAATTTAAGAAATAGTAAAAAGGTTTGGTGACAAAATTTAGTTCAATATGGTCAACAGCCTCAACATCCAAAGAAGACAAATCCATAAAAGGGCCAGCACTTAGGAGTTAATTGTTGCTTTGCTGGACCTAAAAATGGACAAAGGTTAGGTTACAAGGTCTCTTTAATCGGTATGGTGAGGGACCACGGGGGACCATACATTGAGTGCCTTTAACGGGCTTCATGTTGCAATGACACGGTTTGAGGGAGGACCACACCACTCCAAAAGCAAAATAGACAACCCATTGTTAAGGATGCCCTCATTGGTTTGATGCTAGCTTTCTCTCTTGTAAGTTTCCTAAGTGTATACATGCAATGAACCATTTTCAAAGTAAAGAAATATAAGGCCCACGTTGTATGATCCATAAGTGCTATACCTGTACATGTACACATTCAACATTTCTACAGAGTATAGTGTGTCTCGGGGTTCGCTTTAAAAGTACCCCAAACAAACAAAAATGTAGACAGAGAGAGAGTTGGTGTTTCAACTTGTCCTTGTGATCTTCAATCTCTTCACAGTAGTCAAGAATATCCTGTAAAAATTGAACATAATAGAGTGACACATCAAATATAGAAGAAGTCCTAGATTCAAGAGAGAAATTACAATGTAAAACAAAGGGTATGATTTGCATAAGGGTGTAACTTTAAACAATCAAATTACGGTGCACCTCCAAATTTTATTATAGCATTTAATTTTGGTATAAAACGTTTTTAGGTTGGTTAGAATTTTAAAATTAAAAAATAGTTCAAATCTACTAGATCTTAAACATATGAAAATCTTCAAAATTGATGGTCTAAATAATGTGTTGCAAGATATACTATTTATGGGACTTGAAATATGTTTTCTTTTTTCATATTCATATATCTTGATGTCGAGATGATCAATTAAAGGGTTTTTCAACATTAAAACAATATTTTCTGATGGATTTTTGAAGTGCACCTCAATTTTACGTTTTTAAGATTGCAACCTTAAGAGATAGAGTGTTCAAAATGCAAGATATAAATGAGAGAGAGAAATAGGGGTTTAAAATGCAAGGCACAAGTTAGGAATAGGAATGTAAGAGAGAGGGACTTACTCCCAAGGAACATCGCCCACCATCATCCAGTCGCCCTCCTTGTCTTCATAAGTTAAAATATGGTTTCCTCGAACTGGATCATAGGATTGGTTAGCTCCTGAACCAAATATCAATTTTGTTAATCACAAGGCAACATAGAAATATCAATAAAGAGAAACCCAAGACGCACTTATTATTTGGGGTTACATTTAATATTGGAAAAATCTTTAATGTCACACGCATACATTTTTGGAATGTGACTGAACATCGGTTAAATATCGAACATAAATTTTCGAGTGAGCTGAAAAAAATGTCACAAACTAACATAAGTTATTATTATCACGTGTGTAATTAATGGATGACATTTTTTTTTTAGCTTATTCCTTGCCGTGCAGTCATTTTTAAATAGACCACCGGAGGTCTCCATATACGTGTAAATGATGTCTCTAACATGGATGGCATCCAAAATATCCCTCATTTTTGGATGATCATATGTACATCACCCTAAACTTGAAATTTGAATAGGGATCTTTGTTGTTACTTTTTTTTTAAAGTTAAACAAGAATTAAGTGAATTAACAGTCAAAAGATTGAGTGGAATTTGGTACTCACCAAGAATTGGGGTCCTGAACATATCACGAAGTGCACGTATTAAACCATCATAACCAGCATGAGCAAACAGATCAAGCTTCCTTCCAATTGGAATCCCCTCCATGTAGACTTTAACAAAGAATGTGTTGGGATTCCTTTTTCTCCCTCTCTCTACAAGCCTGTTCCTAAGGTGTGATCCAATTGGGGGCCAACCCGAAAGTTGGTCACTTTTGCCATCAAAACATAACAACAATTGAGCCAAAGAAGAGGGTAGAGAGAGAGAGAGAAGGAAATAGAAAGGTGGGTGGTGGTGAAATTCCCATACCTGGTAGAGTTTTCATGTTGGGGCGTGGAGATGCTGAGACCCAATCTCAGTTCGGTGCTCAAATCAGAACGTGGGTTAGAGAGAGAAGAAGGGGATGTAGAGAGAGAAACATAACTGTTGCTGTCCATTGAAGAAGAAGAAGAAGAGGAGTTGCAGGGTTCGTCCATCGTGGCCTCGTTCGTAGACTTGGGAGAGGGGAGAGAGCCGCCACCCTCAATATATAGAAGGAATTGTGCAAGCAAGAGAGAGAGAGAGAAAGAGACCCTAGAGAGAGAAAGATAGGGTGTAGACCCTCACCAGACTCGTCGGTTTAAAATGTCCTGAGGGTGGCCGACAATGACACGTGGCAGACGTGACTTGCTTCGCTCGTGCCGTGCTGTGGCTCGAGCGAGTAGTCGGCCGGCTTCTCAGCTCCTCCTCAAGCTCGTAAGTCAAGATTTCCGTATAAAAATGGTGAGTTACTTTTTCAAAACAAATGAATTCAAATGCTTTTCGGTTTTTTTAAGGATCGTTGTCGCACTGATCGGTTTTTTAAAACCCAGATCAGCCATACAATTCGGTTGTCTGGTTTGGATAGGCGAATTGCAGATTTGATCAGTGATCCGATTGCAATAAAAAATTAAAATTTTAAAAATTAATAAAATATTTACAATTTAAGAAATTAGGGGTTCGGACTTATCTGAATTGTTTGGCTCTTTGGGCCAGTCACCCTTATTCCCGACTCCGATCTGGAACAGGTTTGTCCAAAACTGATGTTTTAATCCACACGCAGGTGTTTCTGGATTAAGTGTTCACGTTTGAGTTGTCTTTTGGCAGATCAGCCCCCAACTAGGCTGATCGGGATTGGCTAGATCGACAATTTGGACTGGCCAAAAATGGATAGAAGTTTACAATTGCGTCACAATATTAAAGGGCGACCAAGATTGCTTGATCAGGACAAGCAATTCTCGACCCAGATCACCATGTTTTCAATCAATAGAAGCGAATCTTACCGTTAAAACTTCAAACTATCAAAACAAGAGTTGTTGTAGAGCCAGCTATAAGGCACACTTTGATGCCTACGAGCGTAGGAAGGTCATTAGATGTCTTATCATTTTCTTTTCAATGAATGAACGGTGATGGGGAATAACGGCACCTAACATTGGCAGCTCGTAATGTTTTTTTTTTTGGGTCTCTTTATCTTCACTGTTTGCTTTAGATAATTCAATGGGGAAGACAAGCCCTTGCCCATTATTTTTCAAGTTAGCTTTTTTAAAGTATTAGTAGGGTGGTATTAGTGGTGGGAATGAAAATCACAACGTGGTGACTGAGGTGTAGGGTACTATCACTATTACCCCGAGCTCTTTCCTAAAAATTTTTCGTTGATATGATGGTTAATCCCCCCGTTAGCCGGCTTTCATAGCAAATTCTATTTGTCCTTTGCCACTTTGGGTTGTCGGGCAACTTGTACAGTTTGGGAAGGGGTTTGTATTGATAAAAAAGAATAATCTACTCCAACTGACATACATCATATGGCAAGAAAAAATTTGATTCAGAAGGAAAAGAAGAGGCAGAAATTGGAACAGGAATATCATCTAATTCGTTGATCCTTGAAAAAAGCAATACGCCAGACTCTATCGTTGAGTGACAAATGGAAAATTCATGGAAAATTGCAATCCGCACCATGTAATAGTGCACCTATATGTCTTGATGCAACTATAATTTTTTTAGGGAAATTTATCGAAATACCCATGAGAGATTATTTAACAAATTGTAATTTTTCCAAGACAAGACCATGGGTATTTTTTTCAAATTAAATCAAAAGTTAAAAGATAGGGGAAAGTGCTCATCGCTTAGAGGTAATTTAATATTGAACCGATACTCTAAACAACCAAATTAAAGCCTACCTCAAAATTTTCACTAGGAAAAGTTGTTTTTTATGCCCAAATATCCTCAAATTGATCATTTTGACACCAAGATGCATGGACATGAGAAAAAAAATGAATTCAAGTTTTAGAAATAGTGCACCTTGTAACATATTTTTTGACCGTCAATTTTCAAGTTTTCGTAGATATTTGCTCGATATACATTATTTTTGAAGCTTTAAATTTTATAATTAAAGCTGAAAATATATTTTAAGGCTATCAATAAGATTTCCAATATTGAAACTATATTTCTCGATACCATTTGAAAGTGCGCTTTATTTTGATTGTTTAGAACCTCGGCTCTATACAAACGATACCTTTTAATAAATTTCCCAAGTGTTTACGGTCACATGGATCATATGGTAGTTTTACCAAACAAATATAAGAGTTCATGAAGGAAAAGTGCACCTATAAGATTAAATGAAATGATGAACTCAATAAATAATAAATGGGTTTTGTTACTGCTCTTACATGTGGAATATTTCCTTAATGCCCTCAACATTTTTAGACACTCATTACCTTACCTCACAACCTACTAAGTTATTTTTTGTGAATGAGTATTTTAGGTAATTATTCAAGAGTAAAGTATAAATTCTTGATAGAAAGAAAATATTTATCAACTATAGTGGATAATGACATTATATATATGAGGTGCGACATCACCCACATGCAGCATTTATTATTTGTAATCACTTATAGAAATGCCACTAATTTTTTATAGAAATATCTATTATATATCTCCTAATGACCAAATCTACTCTTGTTCGAAATATTTTGTGTTGCAAAACAAGGGGTAGTGAGTGCTAAATAAAATTAACAAATAATAATAGTAGTCATTTTTTTTTAAAAAAAAAGAGGAAGTTTTTTAGTACTAAAAAAAATTCATAATTTGAGTGGTAGCATACCTCAATCTCCCTCCCCTTTAAGGGTCTTAGGCACAAATGATATTTAGTTGGGCTAAGTAGCAAACGAGAATCTCCAAACAAAGTTATTGCACTACGTAAATGCATTTATGCAACCTTCCCCCGCGCACACGTGTGAGAAGACAACCCCGTGCGACCTTGAATTAGAGTCCCTTAGTTTTTAGTTCATTTTTCTTCTCTGTCTGCATTGATTCTACTTTTTGCTTCTCCTAGAAAGAGACACACCTTAATTAAGCCGACCACAAGTCACTCTAAACCAGCCCAATGGTCCATAGTGGGCTCAATCCAAGCCAAGAGCTGGCTAGACCTAACGGTTAAAAGCATGTATCCCATATTCCCGCGGGTGGGAGCATATGCTGTGCCTCTACTCCCTCATTCAAGTGACTTATTTGGGAGATGAAATTTCGAGAACTATCTAAGAATTACTAGATTATTACTTTTCAAAAGAAATTTTTGAAATTTTTATTTTTTGTTGGATATTTATATCTAGCCCTTCAAAAATTGGATAGCTACGTTCAATCTCGATACATTATTTTTTTCCTAGCAGACAGAGAGTTAAATTCTGAAATTTTTCAGAGAGATTATTCTATGGATTGAAGAGGTTTGCAAAATTTTGAGTCCTAAAATAACTCGGACATTGGGATGGGTTTTACTTGGGGGGAGTAAATGGACACGTACTTCCACTGAAGTATAAAATGTTTTGGTAAGGATTAAAGCGCCAACCTTGAAGAACCACGTAATTCACTTTCATCATTTCTCCTTGCAATGGATATGTCACATATCCAACTTCGACCCAACCCTTTTGATTAGTTGTAATTAAGTGGCTTGCTTCGTGCTAAAATATGATTTGTGGTCTCTTATTGTCATTTGTTAGTGATAATAGGCTCTATAAGAGGTAGTCCTAGTTGTGCAATTTATTGCCAATGTGCCCCTCATCAAGATCTGGTTAGTTCATGGAAGGTAAGAGACATTGTCACATTTAGCACTACCAACTTTTGAGAGAGTGAGGAATAATTTCTTTTTTCTTGGAAGGACTCACCTACCTCATGCAAATGTTTCTCTCTCTAATCTTACCTACATCTTCACCAGTGGGCTCAGGCTGCCAGCATTAATGGAAACATGAGAGAGAGAGAGAGAGATTTCATGGAAAAAGCAAATTTTGAATTGCAGGTTTGGTGTACATTGGTGTAAATATGGCATGATGTTGTAAATCCTTTAAAAGCCCATACACTCACTCATGGAGTAAAAGAAGCTACCTAGGAAGATAGTTTCCGATTTTCATGGTTAACTTTCAAAAAAATAAATAAATAAAAGGAGGATATCTTCCATTTGACATTTTTGGGTTTATGTTATTGGAGAGAAGTTAGATTTTTAGTTCTTAAATATAGAGATTTGATAGTCCATAAATCGGATGGTCTCTGTTGGATCCCCGGACATCCGCTTTTTACGTTCTTTTTGAGGTTGGTTACTCGGATGAGGAAGTCGCATCCCTAAAATTTTGAGGTCTCGAGAGTTTCACTCAGTGGTTGAAAACAAGGGTGAGACGTGAGACTCAGTAGGCTCCAATTCCAATTGCTTGTATAGAGTCGGTCAGCTCTATTCAAGCAATAACAATAAAACATAGGAACTTTGGCTGGTTTCCGACATACTCACACGAGTTTTGAAATATTGGTTTTAACAGACAAGGTACATAGACAATATGCTCTCGCAGTAGAATACAATGTATTTGGTGATCCATGGCCAACTGTACATATATATATATATATATATATAAAAGAAAAGAAGCAAAATGGCAAATCCTTGGAATGAGAAAAGGAGGGGCATCTTGAGAATTTGATGGTGAGAAGCACTTATTGTTTAGCATTAGATTTATTTTGGTTGATTTAGAAATAAATATAAAAAGAAAAGGAGACAAGATAGGGATGTGGGTTGAGAATAGGAAAGAGTTGTCTCGTGCATATTTGGCTAAAAGTGGTTTGTTGAATTTAATATGTGTGACAATGCCTCTTAAAAGAGACGACATGTGGGCAACTCTAGGCGACATGCAATCAACACCATCGCGCCCTCACCATCTACCTAAGAACTAACTCTCTTTCCTTTCTTTTTCTCTCTCTCTCTCTCTAGCTATCATCATCTCTCTCCTCCCCCATTTCTTTGAAAAATCTGACTAAATAGTCTCGCTCTATGCCATCACCCTAAGAAAACTCTTCCCCTATCTCTGTCTAAGGGAGACAAGAAACATCAATTACCTAATACAACTCTCTCTCTCTCTCTCTACAACTCACATGGTGGCCTCAATTTGCAAGTGCACGTGCATTTGAAATCCCTATGCAATACCACTTTTATGTTTTGACTTCTCCCTCTACGACGATCAGCACTCTCCCTCTCCCTCGGTCTCTAAATCATAATTATAGAGACCGGATCAAACCGGTGATCCGACCAGCCAAATTGTCTGGGTTTGGTTCAAGGTAAATATTGAATTAGGTAAAAAATTGGTCAAAATTAACTTTTGATTTTTCGGGTTAGTTGCTTTTAATCATTTTAACCATCCAAATAAAATTAGGCAACTTTTAATATATTTTTTATTTTTAAACTAAGATATCTAATTTTTTTTTTTTCGAAAATCTAATCCAACCAATTTAACAATTTGACTCGACCAAAACCTTCACTCCAATTTGATCCGGATAAGTGGTAGTTAATAAAAAAAGTAGGAATATTTGCATCCTTAGTGAATGTGTTTGTATCATCTTCTCCCTATCTCTCTCACTTATTCATTGAGCTGCCCTGCATCCTTACTATATGTTTGGATTTTCCTCTGTCACTTGCTATTTGATCTCTCTCTCTAAACATATGCGCTCAATTGAAAGTGCAAATATAGTTTTCATGCATGAGTGTGTGTGTGTTTTTTATCTTCTCTCTCACTCATTCACATTAAATGGCATTGGAGCTTTGATATTCATCATGAAATTAATCAACTCTCTCTCTCTCTCTCTCTCATGCATGCATGCATATCCCAAGTTTGCCTCGCACGCACGTACGCACGCACGCACGCACACACAAAAAGGCAGTTGATATTGAGCACATACATATTATATATTCTATGAGGAAGCAACCGCCCTACCTTACTCCTAAAGAAATGTCGCCCAGCAAGTAAAAAGGTGTTCCCTTGTTCCTTCTTTCTCTCTCTTAAAAGCCACAGTGTATGCACTTTGTGTGCAACACAAGCATATCCCTCCTCTCTTTTTGTTCAACCACAACACGGTTTTCCAAACCCTTTTACTCAACCCTA